ATGCTTTATGGCTCTGGGTGTGCTTTACGGACAAGTGCACAGCAATGACGTGCAGAGCATAGCAACCACCCTGGGAGGGCCGATGGGCCATAACAACCAGTTGACCAATCAACACAGGGCAAACCCTCCAAGCTTGGAGGCACACCAATCCTGAGCCTGTGAGTACCCCTAGACACTCCCCTTACGCTGCCCTATAAGATCTCTATGCAGTGGCTTCGAAGCATCTTTCCTAGCCATCAGCCATGGTGGATGGATGAAAGGCCCGAGCTAACATGGGGTTAGCTCGTTAAACAACTTCAATAAAGCCTCTTGCGTGTTGCATCAACTGGACTGGACATTGAGTTCTTGGGTGACCGTGCAGGTTGGAGATTCCTCAGTCTGAGGATCTTTCAATAATAGGCAAACTTGTCATGGAAAGAAAGCACCAGCCTACAACCCACAGACTAGAGAGGCTAGAAAGCAAGGAGGGCCCAAGGAGATGCATAGATTTCCCTGGGAAGGGGAAATAGAAGGGATCTCCTGGGTAAACTGGAGGCCAGGTAGAGGGGATGGGGGATGGGAACTTGAGGGATCGGGTTGGGGAGACTGGGTGAGGGAGTAATGTTGGAGGAGGGATGGAGGGGTAGAGTAAGGAAAGAGATATCTTGATGGGGGTTAGAGAGAAACCTGGAGCCAGGGAAACCCCCAGGAATTCACAAGAAAAACAGACTCGTAGCAATAGTGGAGAGGGTGCCTGAACTGGCCATCTCCTGCAATCTGATTGGTGACTACCCTAATGTCTGAGATCCTCTATCCAGTAAATGATGGAAGCAGCTACAGAGATCCACAGAAAACACTGGGCTGAGCTCTGAGGTGGCGGGGGGGGGGAGTCTTGCTGAAGAAAGGGAGGGGGGATTCTATGAGCTGGGGTGGTCATGATGGGAGAACCCACAGGGAGAGGTGGCCTGAGCTTGAGGGAGCTCATGGACTCTGGACCAACAGTTAGGGAGTCTCCACAGAGTCTCCTAGTCTCTGACCTAGGCCCTGCATGTATGTGACAGTCCTGTCGCTTGGTCTCTTTGTGAGGCTCCTAGCAGTGAGGTCAGGACCTGTCCCTGGCACTTAGCTGACTTTTGGAAACCTGTTCCCCATGCTGGATGCAGGGGGAGGAGCTCGTCTTGCCTCAGCTTGACGTTCCATGCTGTGTTCAGTCCGTGGGAGGCCTGCCCCTTTCTGAATGGAGATGGAGGGGGAGTGGAAGGGGAGGGGAGGGAGGACTGAGAGTAGAAGAGGGAGGGGAAATTGTAGTCGGTATGTAAAATAAATGAAAAATGTTATGTAAATAAAATAAAGAAAGCACCGTGTTTGGTTCGGGCAAGGGGTGGAGAGTTGGGGGTAGAGCTGAGAGAGAACCAGAAGGATGGCTGCTCTCCGCAGTGTCTTTGAAAGGAACACTGGGCACCAAGGAGGGAACATCATGTTATAGTTCTCCTGGTGCATTTCAAAAAAGCCATCAATTAATTTGCTTACAATTTAGGACGCATCCATCTTTTGCAAGTGTGGTGGTTTGAAAGAAAATGGCCCCCACAGGGAGTGACACACTACCAGGAGGTGTGATTCTGTTGAAGTGTGTCACAGTGGGAGTGGGGTGGGCTTTGTCACAGTTCACTCCTGTTGCCTTCTGATCAACATGTAGCCAGCACCATGTCTGCCTGCACACCACCCACCATACTTCCACCTGCCATGTTGTCCGCCACGGTGATAATGGACTAAACCTCTGAAACTGTGAGCTGCCACCTTGAAGAAATGTTTTCACTTATAAGAGTCGCCGAGGTCATGGTGTCTCTTCACAGCAATAGAGAAACTAAGACAGCCAGGTACTAGCCCCCAGGTGATGGCATGAGCAGGTGCTCTGGTTGGTGGTAAGGATGTGGTTGAGAAGTGGCTTTGTTATCTGTGACCCTTATGAGATACCAAATTGGCAATGCTTTGGTGCTGGACCTTTGCTTCCCAGAACAGTAAGAGACGATTGTCTGCTCTGTCATGTGACTGCCCAGGCTGCTGAGATACTCCACTCTGAGCTGACTGCTCCACTCCACCTGTGAGCTGCACCTCACCGAAACACTAACACATCGATGTGTGTGTGCAAAAGCATGCCTGAAGACACCACAGAAGAAACATGCAAAACCAAGACTGTGTCCACGCTGGGGAACCAATCAGATGAATTATGCCACACCATGTGATGGCTGTGACGTGACCTAGATGGCAGAGAACAGGGCACAGCTGACTTGAGGGCGTCTGTATAGGAGAAGGCGCAGGGGTATGCTTGCAGTGATCCCATGTTCTTGCTAAATGTGTCAGGAACAGTGCTTCTCATCTCCTTCCCTTTGCTCATCGCTAACAAGTGTGATCTGTGAAGACGAGATGCCTGAGGGCCGTGGAATCCTCTTGCTGGAGTTAATGGGGGGTCTGCTGCGGCCCTGCTAGGTCAGTACAAGGACAGCAGGGAAGAATTAAAGGGTCAGGCAAATCAGTAGCAGGCTCCTGAGAGAACAAAGCTTTGTCTGGGAGCTCCTGTTTGTGTGTGCATGTGCATATTGCACACAGACATACTTGTGTTGCACGCAGGCATGCATTTGAACAATATCTTGAATGTGTAATCAATTTACAATACCTTTTGTAAATGTGTTCATGCACAGGCTTTTGTATGTGCTCTGCACATGTATGGGTGATATCGCTCACTGATTTCTTCCCATTTCCTGCCTTCTCAACCCCTTTTCATTCTGACATTAGTTGTGTGGGGTGAGGATCCCCAGCCAAGCTTCCAGCCTTTCTGTCCAGATGGCTGTCTTGGAGTTCTTGCTGTAGTGTTTAGGGCTGTGACCTATCCACTCCCGTCATCCAGGCAGGCAGGACTCAGGCTGGACTTGGGCTTCTTAGGATCTGCAGACCCCAAGAGAAACCTGTTCTGATTCCCAGCGTTAACCGGTTCTGCCTCGTGCAAGCTGCCCAGAGGTTGTGGGACCTGTGTAGCCTCCAGCCACAGGGAAGAGCTACTCTGCCAGCCTGCCCTGGCCAGGAAGAGGCCTCTTCATGCGTGGACTTGTTCTGCTGCCTGGAAAAAGCAATTTGTCACATTGTGGGGAGCATTCCTGGTGGGTTGCTTGGGAGAATTACGTTGGTTTAGTGAAATACAGCCAGGAATAAAATGGGAAAAAAAGGGATTGGAAGGAAAACTGTTCCCTACTGCTCATTCTGCAATCTGACTCTATTTTGCTAATGTGTTCAGTACTTTATCATCCTTCAGACAGCCCTGTCCATTTCCTCTGTTCTCCCCTTCCATGCTGTATTTTGCCTTCTTTCCTTGGCTCCCTCTTTGCTCCTTTGTCCCTACTCCCTCTCATCCCCAGCTCTTGGCACTGGCCTGGGTATGCTAAGTGTCTGACCTTGGGTGACTAGCAGGTTCTCAGGTTGGATCCTCAACACCTGTGGAAAACTGCAGGATTACCTCAGCCCACTCTCCTCTTTTGTGATGCAGGCAAATCCTGGTTTAGCAAGCACTTACAAACAGTGCAGGGAAACAGACCAGCTAGAAGAGAAACTCCCCTGTAGGAGCTGGCCATGTGAGGAAGGCAGAGCAGGGTGGTGGCACTGGGCTGCCCACCTCTACTGCAGGGGTGCTGCCACCTTCTCTCAGCCACATGAAGGACTCAGGTTTTGGGGGGTAAAGTTGAGCATGGCTGCTTCAGACAGAGGTGGGTATTGGGTTGTCTCTGAGGATCAATTTCTTTTTATTTTGTTTTATAACATTTTTAAAATTTATTTTCCATACCGACCAGAGTTTGCCCTCCCTCCTCTCCTCCAGTTGCCTCCCCCCACCTCCAACCTACCTCCATCTCCCCCTCCCCCTCCCTCCCCCTTCTCCCCTCCCCATCCACTCCCTCTCAGCTCCATTAAGAGGGGGCTAAAGAATGAACGCAGCACAGAGCAGCTCTGGGCACTGCAGTGAATGGATTTGCAGCATCCTGGTCTTCACTACCGGTTCGCATGTGGCAAGACCCCCATCTCAGGACACAACCTTTAGAGAGGCAAGGCATGCCTGGGGACAGACCTTTCCTGTTTTTGATTTGCTATTCTCACAGATTCCTTTGCAGCCTGTCTCTGGAGAATGAATGCCCTTCCCTTCAGGAAGATGGTCATGGCTAGACACAGCTGAAGAGCTATGCAGCTACAAGGCACTTCACTGCTGGGTCAAAACCAAACTAATTAATGGCTGCTCAGGACCCAAAGAGTGTTAGCCGATGTGTCTACTCACATGCAGAGGCGGGAGGCTTTTTAAGTTACGGGGGCCATAGATCAGGAACGACACACCCGATTCCCAAACGTGGAACATTACATGCTAGCAGAGAAAAACGTGGGAGACTTGCACGCAGGGAGCTCTCATACCTATCCAATCGATTTGAGTAGGTTGCATGTTATCACTACTACCCCACAGGCAGAGCCAAGACAGAATGGCCAGGCATGAGAGAGAAGCCCCGCCGAATTGCAGAAACTGTCATCAGCATTGTCTGGCCTTGTATCAAAGATGTAGACAGAGTGTGTTTCCCATTGGCACTGGCCAGGGTTTACACATGCCACGTGATCTGAGCTGATCCAGAAAATGAGTGCAAGTTTTTATCTCTTGGAATCTGGGTGATTTGGGCAAACGTTCGCTAATCTGCAAGAGGACTTGTTACCTAACACTGCTTCACACATCTGAGAATTGGTGACCAGGGCCTGGTGTCTTTTAATTTCCCAGCCCCACGGTGGCTAGACACCACCCACCCAGTGTTCTCGTGAACCCTTCTGGTCTTGGCTCCGCAGCAAGCACGGACCTGAAACCACCCCTCCTTCCAACGCTCAGGTCTGAGAAGGCCTGTGCCACTGCCATGCTTTTGAGAGGAAAGGCTTTGGTAGGCGCTAGAGTCTGACCCATACTCGTGGATCTTGCCCTTTACGAAAGTCTTACCCAGGAGGCCGGCTGGTCGTGACAGCGCAGTGTACCTGAGCTGGAGTAGAGTACACTGTCCTTAACCAGCACTGAGATGGCTCTGAGCATGAACGAGAGGAACAGATTCAGGTGGATGTAGTTCCTGGTACAGTGCAGCTTCCTGAAGAGGGAGAAGACAGAAACTGATGTTCAAATGATCATCTACGGCCCTCCCCCTTTTCATGGAGTTGGTTAACCATTTACAAAACTTTAATTGTCATGATATATATATATATATATGTTTCCAGTTTTGCATCATGATAAGTATTTTTTTTTTGCACATGAACTCTCCATTTATTTCAGATTATTTCCTTAGGTTGGAGTTCAGTATGAATACATAATGCAAAAGCCACGCAGGAGCTGCCTTAAGTCTGCAGCCAAGTGTGCTCTGTCTGATACATGGTTCGGGTCACAGGATGGGTAGCTAAGTGCGGTTGTCTCATTATCTCTCCTCTCCTTGTGGTATTAATGTCTGATGCTCCCACTTTGAGACAGAGGCGCAGCTGTGACTTTACCCACTCCTCAGGTGATACTTGGCCTCCAGGCTTCAACTCTCATGCATAACTTTTTGTGTTAGGTGGAAACTGACCTCTGTAAGAATTGGCTTTCTGGCACTAGGAAAATGTTCAAGGATCCACAGGATGACCCCCAACTAAGAATCTAAGCAACAGTAGAGAGGCTACTTTAAATGTCCTTCCCCTCCCATGAGATGGATGACTGCCTTAAATGCCATCCTAGTGTCCTCATTTAGTAGCTGATGGAAGCAGAAGCAGACACTCACACTAAACACTGAACTGAACTCCTGGAATCCAGTTGCAGAGAGGGAGGAGTGATGAGCAAAGGGGTCAAAACCAGGCTGGAGAAACCCACAGAAATAGCTTACCTGAACAAGGGGGGGCTCAGGGGCCCCAGACTGATATCTGAGAAACCGGCAGAGGACCCACCCAGATCCCCTGAACGTGGGGGTCAGTTAGGAGGCCTGGACAATTTACGGGGCCTCTAGTAGTGGAACCAGCATTTATCCCTAGTGCACGAATGGACTTTGGGAGCCCATTCCCTATGGAGGGTTACTGTCTCAGCCTAGACACCTGGGGAGGGACCTAGGCCCTGCTCCAAATGATATGACAGATTTTGATGATCCCTCATGGGAGGCCTCACCATCCTTGGGGAGTGGGATAGGGGGTTGGGGGGCTGGGAGGAAAGAAAAATAAAATAAATAAAAATTGACTTTCTCCTCTTTATATTGACACTAAAGATGGTCCACCCCATGCCTGGGTTAGGAGCTGCAGTTGGTCTCCTTGTTACACAGCAGCCTGTCCTCGCCCTCATTCCCTTCCTGAGTGTCCCTTGACAGAAGCTCACTGTCAGCTGAAGGCACAGGCCTTCCCATTGACCCCTTTTCCTGGTTGCACAGGCATTGACTTCCATTTGTCTCCCTCATGGCCCTGGACACGCTTTGACTGATCAGCCATGAGCTACCAGAACAAATGAGACTGAAATATGGCCAACAGGGGCTGATTTTAAATTTTATGTAGTTTTAAAGTAATCTAGAGTTAAAAACCAGAAGGATCATGACCTGCCTTTTATTTGCACACAGTGTCCTTGTCATGGCAGGGCTGTGCTTCACTTAAAAGATGCATCATGTATGTATCTACTGGTGTGTGTGTGTGTGTGTGTGTGTGTGTGTGTGTGTGTGTATGTGTACGCACGCATGTACACTATGGCAGTGTCAGGTGTGTGTACCCGCTAGTATTACACACAAGTGAGACACCGATGTAGCCGAGGTTAATAGATTAATTCAGTTGGAGTTATTTTCTTTTCTATGTACAAATGGGACAATGGGATATGTGTTTTTTCTGGAGGGGAGGCAGAATCAGCTTATAGTAATAACCATGAAAACTCCTATGCAATTATTTGTGAAAATATGTTATTTTCGTTGCAATTTTGTTTTACTTTATAAAACCAGCGTAGACAAACCATAGAATTTAAAGCCAAGGCATGATGCTGACACAGGAGCACATGAGGACAATAACATTTGGATGAGGATATGTCATGAACTTCATGAACAGCAGATGCTGTTTTATGTGGTCAAAGAAGATGAAAAAAACATTCCTCGGGTTGAAAACGTGGAGTTAATAGGGTAGAGGGATACTTTGAGGTGATTTATTGAATTTAACAAGAATTTTCCAAAAGTTAGTCACCTGAAATCAGAATTTAAGTTCCAACAGAGGAGTCCAGTGAAAACAGTGAGAGAGGGGCCTCTGTCCAGCCCTTCCAAGAAACTCTGAAACCTTGGCAAAATGACTCACATTAATCCTGTTGAACTCTGGAAAATACTCAAGAGTTGATAACAATGTGATCCCCCACCCCGGCTGAGCACACTGTAGTCAGCCTTGTCCTATGGCACATGTTTCTCTTAGTGCTACCCTGAAGACCATAGCCAATGGTATCTGTGTGGTCTCAGGAATTACACACAAGTGGAAGATGCTGGCCTAATAACTGGTGCAACTTCCAGAACCCACTCAGACAGAACAGCAGCTATAATGAAAGTCAAATAGATTCTGGTAGCCGCCTAAGGCTAACATTAACAGTTGAGGCAAATGACAGACATTTTGGAGCCTGAGAAGAAAGGTTGGGGAGTGAGGTTCTTGGGGAAACTAGAATTTCTGAAAGGCTGTCGTATATGCAGAGGGATTTTGAAACCTGCATATGTGCTCTGGACAGGTCATATGCTCCCAAAAAGCGTTCACTTAAGGTAATCTTTAGTCTTAGCTTAAGCAAAAAGTGAAGTTAAGGCAGAGTTGTAAACAACCTGGCCAAGTATTAAAGGAGTGCTTCCAACACAACCAAAACTCCCAGATGGGGAATTTTCTTTTCTTCCTATTTCCCCCACCCCTTGACTGTGGATGTCTAAAAAACCCTCTATCAGTAAGTAATTGAATGATAACTAACAGTATATAGGCTTCAGAGACTAACAGGGCCAATATAAACTCTACAAAATAGAAATGTTTAGAAAAGTCACTAAATAAATCATTATGAGCCTGGCCTGGTGGCACAGAGCTGTAGTACCAGCTAACAGAGGCATGAGACACGAGGCTTCCAAGACTTGTCTGGGACCACGGGGGACTTCAAGGATGGTCTGAGCATTTCATAGAGACTGTCTCAAAATAAAAAGTAAATGAAAGCGTTGGTTTATACCTCTGTGGTAGACTGTGTGTCCAGCATTTGAAAGGACCCAAGTTCAATCTCGAGTACCACAAAAATGATAAAATAGAATAAGTAATATAGAAACACCTACAACTTATAACAAAGGACAAAAAATGAGAGACAAAATTTGATTTCCTGAGTTATCACATCATTTTATTAAAAACGTCCAGTTTCAACAAAAAGATTATAAAGCATTAAAAGAAGCAAGAAAGCTGGATTACTGCTAGGAAAAAGAAAATAAATAAAACCTTTCTTTTAAAAAATCACATGAAACAGCCTTACTAGACAGAATCTTAAAGCCAAATGCTTGAATGTGTTCAAAGAACAGAATGAAATAAAAGAGAACCATCCTTCAACAAACACAGAATTTCAATAAAGAAATGAAATTTGAAGAAGTAACTAAATAAAAAAAATTTGGGTTTGAAATTTGCAACTGGCATTACAAATCCCCTAGAGACAGCCAAGGAAAATCTAGGCAGGGAAAAGAGAGATTCGCTAAATTTAAAGATCAAAGAAAATTACCCAGTCTTAGAAGTTGTTGTGTAGCAATTTGCTCAAAATGGAATAGTTTCATCTTGGAGGAGGCTCTTTAAAACCATACAAGTAGACAAATCTTACTGGGCTCAGACAATAAGCGCCTGACAAGTCTTAGGAAGTTCCTGAAACCTATAATATTCACAAGGACCTGCCCTCAAGCAGTAACAATTTCTGTGCAGGGAAGATGCTCCAACCTGATTATCAGTCTGCACATTGAGGAAGGGAACTCTAGGGACACAGCTCTTGTGAGTTACCATTTGTTCTTGAGTGGGCTTCCCAGTGAAGCAGTTGCTTTTGAGTCATCTATGTTACTGTGGTAACCTGTTGTCCAAACTGCTGTAATTAGCCCCAATAAACTCCCAGGTTCACTAAACTCAAGTGGAATTGTTAACTTGGTCAGTTGTAGGTTCATATATGTGGTAAATAGATGTTTGTTCATGTCTCCACAAAAAAGTTGGACATCAGAAGCAGAAGAAGCAGAAGCAGAAGGAGGAGGAGGAGCAAAAGGAGGAGGAGAAAGAAGACGAGGAGGAGGAGGAAGAGGAGGAGGAGGAGGAGGAGGAGGAGGAGGAGGAGAAGAAGAAGAAGAAGAAGAAGAAGAAGAAGAAGAAGAAGAAGAAGAAGAAGAAGAAGAAGAAGAAGAAGAAGAAGAAGAAGAGTGAAGAAAGCCGAAAAGATGTGGAATACTACCCATTGCCTTCTCAGGTTCTTATGTAAAAGAAACATGGTATTACAAAGGACCTCAAATGCCTGGAACAACCTCCCCCCCCAAAAAAAAAACCAAAGTGGGATGACTCACTTCTGGATCCCACACTTTCTGGAGACTGTGGTGATCTCACTTTATTGGCTCTGCAAAAGGCCCGATGCGTTAGACCTAGACCGAGAGGCTTAAAACATACATCATGAAGCCAAGAACGTTTAACTGTATTTTAAACTGTTGGAGTTGAGCTGCAGGGTTCGGACTTGAGAAAGGATAAGGCTAGACTCCCATTTCTCAGCATATCAAAAACTAACTGAAAATGAATCTGTGACCAAAATACAAGAGCCAGAAGTATAAAACTATTTTGGGCTGGAAAAACTTGATCTTGGATATGGCAAAGGTCTCTTAAATAGTACACCAGAAAAGTGCAAAAAAAAATAGACAAAGTCGACTTCATCAAAACTTAAGACTTTAACATATTAAGTATACACTATCATGCTTAAAGAAAACCTAAATGAAGGTAGAAAACATTTGTAGACTACTAGACTTACAAAAAAGCTAGAGTCTATGAAATATAAAAATTGTAATGAGAAACCAAAAAAACTTGACTTAGAGATTGGGCAAACATGGGACTAGAGAAGACATGGTTTAAAAGCACCATGGACTCTGGGCTGACA